ACTCGCTGCGCTCATCGATGCCACATGGAGACCCACAGCGCCCATGCACGCGCGCGCAGAATACCCGACGCTCTGCTCTCTCTCGCTCCTCCTCGCGCGGCTGCCCTCGCTCCAACATCTCTCCTCTGCCGTCTCCTCCTCGCATCTCCGCTCCTGCCCCCTTCTGGCACCCGGCTCCGCTGCCCGCCTCCTCCTCCTCCGCCTCCTCTCGCAATCTGCTCCCTCTCCTCCCCTCTCCTCCCCGCCTCACTCCTCCCCCTCCTCTCGCCGTCCTTTCCCGCTCCCCCTCCCTCGCTCCTCCTCCTCCTCGCTCCTCCGCCTCCTCCTCCCCCTCCTCCTCCTCCCCTGTCTGCCTCCAGCATCTCTCCTCTCCTGCCGCCATTCGCTCCGTCCCCCTCCTCGCTCTCCCTGCCTCTGCCTGCCTCCGCTCCTCCTCTCCTCCTCCTCCTTCCCTCCTGCCTGCACCTCGATGCCACCAGTAAGACCGCACGGCAACCCATCAGCGCGCGCGGAGCGGACCCCGCGGCTCTCTCGTGCTCTCCTCCTTTCCCTCCTCGCCCCTCCTGCGGCTCCTCCTCCTCCGCCCTCCCCTCCCCCTGCCTCCCCTCTCCTCTCGACTCCTCACCTTCGATGGCACCTAGTAGACGCCACGGCGCCCATCACGGCCGCGCGCGGCGATCCACCGCCGCTCTCTCATCCCTCGCTCCTGGCCTCCTCTCCCTCCTGCCCCTCCCCCTCCTCCTCCTGCCCCTCGCTCCTCCTTCCTCCCTCCGTCCTCGCTCCTGCCTCTCATCCTCGTCCCTCCTCCTCCCCCCTCCTCCTCGCCTCCCTCCTCCTCCTCGCCCCTCGAGCTCCTCACCTTCGACGCCACCAGTAGACCCACGGCACCCATCACGCCGCCGGGCGCGGAGCGCCCCGGCCGCTCTCATCTCTCGCCCTCCTGCCTTCCTCCTCCTCCTCACTCCTCCTCCTCGCCTCCTCCTCCCCTCCTCTGCCTGCGCTCCTCCTCCTACCTGCCTCACCCCTCTCGCTCCTCCCTCCTCCTTCCTCCCTTCCTCCCCGATGCCTCCTCCTCCATCCTGCCTGCCTCCTCCTACCCCCTCTGCCTCCTCCTCCTCCCTCCTCACTCCTCTGCCTCCGTGGCCATCTCCTCCTCCTCGCTCCTGCCTGCCCTCCTCCTCCCCTCCTGCGCTGCCTCTTCTAGCCCCGTCCTCCGCCCTCCTCCTGCCTCCTGCCTCCTCCTCCTCCTCGCATCCTCCACCTCCTCCTCCTCCTCGCTCCCCCTCCTCGCTCCTCCCCTCTTCTCCCTCCCTGACACGTATACGATGCCACCAGTAAGACGGCCACGGTGCCCATAACGCGCGCGATGCGGATAGCCCCGGCGCGCTCTCTCTTCTCGCTCCCCCCGTCCTGGCCTCCTCTCTCTCCTCGCTCCTCCTCCTCCTCCTCCCCCCTCCTCGACTCCTCTGCTGCCCTCCTCCCCCTCCTCCTGCCTCCTCCTCCCTCGCTCCTCCCTCCTCCTCCGCCTCCTCCTCGCCTCCTCCTCCCCCTCCTCCTGCCCCCCTCCTCTCCCTTCCGAACCTCCTCACGCTTCGATGCCACCTAGTAGACCCACCGTGCCGCATCACGCGCGGCCTACGCGGATGTCCAATGCGCCGCCTCTCTCTCTCTCCTTCCCCTCCTCGCTCCTCCTCCTCGTCTCCTCCCCCTCCTACCTCGCTCCTCGCTCCTCCTCCCCCTCCCCCTCCTCCTCCTCCTGCCCTCCTCCTCCCCCTCCTTCCTCCTCCTCGCTCCTGCCTCCCCGGTCCCTCGCTCCTCCTCCATCGCTCGCTCCTCCTCCTCTCTCCTCCTCCCTCGCTCCTGCCTCCTCCTCCTCCTCCTCCTCGGCCCCTCCTCCTCCTCTCTGCCTCCTCCCGCCTCCTCCTCCTCCTCCTCCTACCTCCTCGCTCCTCCTCCCCCTCCCTCCTCCCTCCTCCTCGCCCCTCCTCCTCCTCCCCTGCCATCTCCCGATCCTCCTCAACCTTCGATGCCACCTAGTGACGCCGTGACCATCACGGCGCGCGCGGATCCCCGCGCCCGCTCTCTCTCCTCTTCCCTCCCCCTCCTCCTCCTGCTCCTCCTCCTCCCGCCTCCTCCCTCCTCCCCCTCCTCCTTCCCCCTCCTCCCCTACCTTCTCCTCCTGCCCACCCTATGATGCCACCAGTAGACCCACGGCGCCCATCACGCGCGCGCGGATCCCGCCCTCTCATCTCCTCCTCCCTCCTCCCTCCTGCCTCCCCCTCCTCCCCTCCTCCCTCCTCCTCCTACCTCCTCGCCTCCTCTCCTCCTGCCTCACGCTTCGAGCCACCAGTAGAACTCCACGGCGCCCATCAACCGCGCGCAAGGCGATGCCGCGCATCTCATTCCTCCTCCTCCTCCCCTCCTCCTCCGCCCTCCTCCCCCTCCCTCCTCGCTCCCCTCCTCTCCCTCCTCCTCACCCTGTTTCGACGCACCAGTAGACCCACGGCGGCCCATTCACGCCGGCGCGGCCAGGCATCCCCGCCGCTCTCGTCTCTCTCCTCCCGCCTCCTTCCTCCCCTCCTCCTCCCGCCTGCCTCCTCGCTCCCTCCCCTCCTCCTCCTCCTCCTCCTCCTGCCTGCACCTTGCGATGCCAAGCCAGTAGACCAACCGGCAGCCATCACATGCCGCGCAAGCACGGATCCCCGGCCGCTCTCTCTCTCCTCCCCATGCCCCCTCTCCTCGGCTCCTCCCGCGCTCCTCCTCCTCCTCCTTCCCCCCCTCCCTCCTCTCCCCCCCTCCTCCTCACACCTCGATGCCACCAGTATACCCACCGGTGCCATCACGCGCAGCGCTGGATCCCCGGCCAGCTGCTCTCTCCTCCTCCTGCCTGCACCCTCCTCCTCGCTCCTCCTCCTCCCCTCGCTCGCTCCTCCCCCTCCTCCTTCTCGACTTCTCCTCCCCCTCCTCTCACCCTTCGGGACTGCCACCGACTAGACCCACGCGCCCATGACAGCGCGCGCGGATCCCCCGGCCCGCTCTCCATCTCTCTCGTCCTCCCCCTGCCTCCTCCTCCTCCTCCACCTCCGCTCCTCCTCCTCCTCGCCCCTCCTCTCCTCCTCCCCCCCTCCTCCTCACCTTCGATGCCACAGTAGACCCACAGGCGCCCCGGGAGGAGGAGGAGGGGAGGAGGGCCGATTTTAATATTAATTCATTAAGTAAGTATTAACAACAATAATGCACTACTTATCAAGATTGAATATCAACCGATTAACGAATCGATCGAATACTAACATTAGTTAATCGGTTAATTAATCGATTTCATTAACTCGTTACCTCGTTAATTCACTCGTCTGCAGGTGCTCAACGTGCAGGTCCCGTTCCTCTTCAAACACGCCGTCGACGAACTCAACTCCCTCACCGGGTACACCGCGAACTTCTCCGACCCCACCGGCCTCATCGCTGGAATCACCGTCGTCTCGGCCGTCCTGATTGGCTGTGAGTGGCGCGGCGCGCCTCCGCGATTGGTCGGGGACGTCGGTCGGGGATTTCCGCTGCGTTTTTTTTTTGTTTTTTGTGGGGGATGCGGTCGTTTGTTGAGCGCCGCTTGTTCGAGACGGTGCTGCCATCTACGTCGGCAGAGCGGAGTGTTTGCGGTTTTCCCGCGCCGGAAAGATGATCGCGCGTCGTTTCGTTCCCGTTCCCGCCAACAGATGGCGTCGCGCGCGCATTTGCGCGTTCGCGGAAAAAGTCGCGAACCGGGCGAAAAGGGACGGTCGGTCGCGCGACGTTTAATTCCTGTTTCTGCCGACAGATGGCGTCGCTCGCGCCGGGGCGTCCGCCTTCAACGAGCTTCGCAACGCCTTGTTTGCGCGCGTCGCTCAGAACTCGATACGGCAGGTAGCGAAGAGCGTATTTCTTCACCTGCACTCGCTCGACCTCGGCTTTCATCTGTCGCGGCAGACGGGGGCGCTGTCGAAAGCCATCGACCGCGGCACGAGGTAGGTGTTGAGGGGGTTGTTATCCGGTTTGTCTCCTCCTCTTCCTCCTTCTCTTCCTCGCTCTCCTTGTCTCTCTTTCTCCTCCTC